CCATCGAGGGAGGACACCGGCCCGAAGATGATATACAGCAGGCGAGCCTGACTGACGATGGGCCACGGCTTCAAAATGCGGGTCAGCCAGAAGGCAGAATTGCTCTGGTGGATCCAGTGGTTCAACAAGACGCTACGACAGAACAGCCTGATCCGCAGCTCCAGCTTTCGGGCACTGCCTGGGGCAAAAGGACGGAGATGTTATAAACCTCTCAAGCCTCGTGCCATACAGATGATTTCTTTATTATTTTTAGGGTTTTTTTTCAATGGGAAGAGAAAGGATTTTCTTCAAGCTGCCCACAAACGTTAGGGGGATTGAATTAAATTCTCAGCTCTTTTGGGTACCTGGCAGTAAATTCAGGGCACAGAACCTGTCAGTGCACCCGCCGGTACCTCTCTGCAGCAGCTCGTGCGCCTCTTCAGGGGCTCTCAGCTGCGGGGTTTGGGTTTTGGGGTCTGGCCTCCGCAAGCAGCAACAGGAGGAAGCGTGTGCGCGGCCGCCTGTGAAGCGTCGCACAGAAACACCCGGTTCTGTGCTGGGTAACACGAGAATTTCTCAAGAGGCATGTGCCACGTCAGTGCTGTGTTTCGGAAACATTAAGGGTAACTTTCGGCTGCATCATTTTATTTCTCTGGTGGTTCCTTTCCCGCCGATTTTGCTGGCACGGGTGTGCGGCAGGAAAGATTCCGGTCCGTGTTACCCTACGTACACACGTAACTTCTGCGTTGGGGCGATAACGGAAGGATTCAGAAAAACCTAAACGCCTCTCAAGACAATCCCTTCGCTACAGGATATGTGTCGAAGACAAAAGCACTTTTCTTTTGCTTTTGGTGAAGAAAAACCAGCTGTATTCATCGGCATGAAGGCCAAGTACTTGCTTTAGGATGCCCACTTGCTGCGCAGTAGCGGAGCTAGCGGCGCGCACGTGAGACTCAGGAAAGGCCTGGTGCTACGAGGCTTAGCTGAGCTGGAGCATCCTCAACTCCAGACACATTTTGTCGGCAGTAAAATCAAGATCCATTTCCTGACTTCTCCATGACAGCCCGTTTCGATTTCGTAGGGCTTTTGTCCGCCTTGACGATTACCTGGTTTGCTGCTGACGACTGTCTCTACTTTACGGGGTAAATTGCTCAGCTCACAGAGGAAGTTGAAAACTCGGTGGCACTCTAGATCATCCCAGCCTGCTGTTAGGACCTGGAGAGTGCAAGAGAAAGTGGGTAAAAATTAACAGACTGAGATCACCGTGGCGTTTCTCGTGAAATACAACCTGCCCTGCAATTCATCAGAAGAAGAGGGAGGGAAGGTGCCAGCCCCGGAGCGTGATGCCCGCACAGCATCTCCCTGACGATAAGCATTCCCCGCCACAGAGGTGCTGCACGTTGTGGCAGAGGCTCTACTTAAGCTTAACGCAGCCCAGAATCAAGAGCTGCTGACGGCGTTCCACGTCCAGGGCCAAGCTCTACTTTTGAACCTTACGTGGAAAAGTACACAAAGGTATTTGCTGCAAAGACAAACGTCCCGGCACAAATAATTATCTCTTAACCACAGGAAGATAATCACGGGTTTTGTGTTATCAAATACTTTAAGGCTGCAGATGTGTACAACACCTGGACACACGAGTTTCTGAGACTCAAATGCATGTAAAACGTGCTCAAAATGCCTGTTCTTCTAAGAGAGAACTTGTTTCTGTCCTTTTTTAAACCAAGTTACTCGCCAGTAAATCCTCCACTGCGGCATCCTACCACTTCCCAACCAAACATCTCAAGTGGTGTTAAAACGGTCCTGCCCTTAGCCTTTACTGCATGTTTGCAATCACGGAGTCATTACAGTAGAGAAGCTGTGGATTGCTGAACTAATTCATCTGACACTGGGTTTTGGGGTTTTTTAAATTAATTTATTCTACCACAAGGTAAGAAAAATATTCTGGCCTACGACATGTACAGCCGTTTACTTTTAACCTAGACCAGCTCTGCTCCTGGTTTGTGAGCTTGAACCTGCGTAGTGAAACGCTCCGCTTCTCCCATGTCTCCTTAGATAATAAATCGCTAATCAAAATCCAGACTGGTGGGTAGGGAAATCCAGAGCAAGGAATTTTCAAGAGTCAAATCAGCAACTCGAACAACCAGAAAGGAAATTTGGAAAACTATGTGAATAAACACACTCCCCCTACACCCCAAGGCTCAAAACCATCTTCTACTTCTAAATATCTTGCAAAAACACAGATTAATTTAGAAAACAACCTTAATTTTCTGTTATATTTGTGCTACTTGCCTTCTCCCCGTAAGGATACCGTACCTGTAAAAATACCCCATAGCACTGGAATCCTAAACACTGCAAAGGACGCGGACAACCATAAAGTTTAAAACAGGAAACCTGCAAGTGCAAAACACCAGTTATTCATCTTAACTGACCATAAGGTAATTCCCATGATCGAAAAAGCTCCGTGCACCTTGGGTACAGCAATACTGACGGGAGATTCGGCAGGATTCCCTGCCCTGGTCGTACGGAGGAAACGCCTCCTAGGACCTGTGCTACGGCGTCGCGTTCAGGTCAGAACTGTGGTCAAGTGGGGGTGCAAAAGGTGTGCAAGAAGGGCAGTGCGGTTTGCAGGAGAGTAAAACGTCTGTGAAGAGCTGTGCTCTCCCACGGCAAAATTCCTAGCAGCCCACCAACCGAAGAAAAGTTGAAAACCACGGATCTCGGACTACGCCCTCTCAGCTGATCGGCCCTGCGCTCAGCGCGCTGGCTCAGGCTTCCCCAGGGTTACCCAGCGGCTGTTTTCAAACCAACCCATTCGGCACCCAGCGGCGATGAACTCCAGCAAAGGGACAGCCAAAGGCACAATTCAGCCAGCCCGGGCCTCGCAGGAACGGCAGCGTAAGGGCAAGGGGGTGTTTGAACCACGGGTGGAAGGAACGTGGCCTCACCTCGGCGAGAACCTGGTGCGTGTACTTCAGCCTGTCCCTCGTGGGCAGCAGGAGCGTGCACCGCTTGAGCAGCAGCCCTGCGGACAGAACGAGAACGCACACGGCTCGGGGCGCTCCCTCACGGCGCGGGCCGAGCTGAAGCGCTCGCACCGCGGGCAGGAGCACCCCCGGGGAGGAGCAGTTCTGCTGCGAGGGGAAAGGGCGGCACGAAAGAGCGACCCGTGCCTTGGAGAGGGCATCTGCTTTGGGGGGGGGACATCACTAAAGAGATGCTGCCAGGGAGTGTGTCCACTCCCTGGGCCGTGACACGTTCGTTGTGTTGTTTAAAAGTCCCTGTTAGTCACAGCTGGAGCCCTACTGAAATACTGTGCTGGGTGGAGAATGAGGCTGTTAAAAATACGGGAAATAAACGTTACTCGTTGCACCTCTTCTAACAGCACCCTGGGGAACGCTGGTTTTCCCCTTACATCATGGAAAGAGGAGCTTCCAAAATTTTTGCAAGATAGCCACACGCTCTAAAAAGAAAATATCCTAAACCGTGTTAATGTAAAACATAGCTGAGAGGGGAAAGTATTTTCCTATACAGGACTGAAACGGTATGTGTTCGGGATGTCAAAGCCTGGAGCTCATTACAGCGTGGAACAGCTGTTTGTTAAGCAGCACGGGTTTTCTACACCACTGGTAGAAAATGGGTTAACCGCTTGCTCTTCAAAACTTTTACCAGAATAAAAAATATATATCTTGTTTGCTAATGAATCAAGAAATCCACAGAAAAGCATGTGCTTATCTGGAAATATAACTTTTTTTTCCCTGAATTGTCAGTCTCCCAAAAAACACATAACTTCTCCAATGTCAGAAGTACTTGGTGCATTTGCTGTGGTTCTGCATTGACTCCCTCCTTATTTAGCAGCGTGTTAGCATTCCTGTTTGACAGACAGAACTCATTCATCAGCCTGGGCCACGGTCCAAAGCTCGGCCAAGTCCATTTGCCATCGACCAGCTCAGACTGCGGCCAGAGCTCCCTGAAGAAGAGCAGACGCTGCTCAGGCAGGGTCGCTGCGGCGCAGAACGCGGCCATCGGCGGGGGGAAAAGGGTTGAGCCAAAGGCCCGGCTTCGGCGCCGAAGGACGGGGCCACCACCGGTTATAACTCAGGTCCGTTTTAAACAGCGACCGAAGTTCTGACCCCGCTACAAGTCCGGGAAGATTTTGCCGTGGGCCCCCGGGGAGCCAGGCCCCGCCGGGTTTGGGTGAGGTTGGTGGGATGTGCGGACCCCGTTCAGGCTCTCTGAACAGGATGGAGGTTTTCCCATCAAATCCAGCCTTTCCTGCTGCAAAGTAAATACTGATTTTGCAACCGACCTCTTAACGAAACCTCTGCAGCCTCCCACCGGTGACACAGATACCGCCCGTGACCTGTCTATGTCACTACACCACGTTTTCACTACTCGCCCTGCTGCAGCCGCGGGTTCACACCTCCAGCTAAACGCCAAGTTGCCATTTTGTCTGTGGTTACTACAAAGCCCAAACCAATTTTGATTTTTATTTTTTTTTTTAAGAATTGTAGGGTTCCGGCCTTCCTTTTAAAAAGAAAACACTAAGATTATCTTCAGATACCTCAAAACCTTGCTTGCCACAGGAGGTCTTTGGTCTCTGCGGCTGTGACAGCGCTCCGTTACCTCGCGCGCGCCGTTAGCGCCCCGAGTTCAAGCCCCGCTGGTGACTCTGACCTAACCATGGCGCCGCCCCGCTGCTCTGCCAGTTAAACAACGGCTTTTTTATCAGATGGGGAGCAGTAAATAGAGATGGGTAAAATGATGTTTCAACTTCATTCAGTTCCCTGATGGAACCCTTGAGAGTGATTTAGAATCCACGCGGTTTAAAAATGAGCGGAAAAGTTAAAAAGCAAACAGTCTGAATCGGAGGCTGCGCAGCGCTCCTCATCACCACCGGGCCCATGTTATTGTGATCTAGATGTCCAGTACGCCACGCCACGCCAGGTCTGAGCAGCTGGAAAGAAGAACCAGTGAATCTTTTCCCCCAGAAAGGGTTCAGTGAGCACCCGATATACCACGACAGCGAAAGCGCAGACATTTTCACATGGCCCTGAAGCTGAGAGCGAGAGGAAAACGTGTCCTTCGTGCCCGGTTCGGTCTTTGAACTCTGGCACAAACCTGCCAAGGAGAAGGCGAGTCACTGACAACTGTGACAACACTTTGGGGACGAGCACACTTCCTTCCCAAGCAGTGGAATGGGATCTGGGCTGCATCTCGAGCAGACTGTCGAGCAGCCTGATGGCAACTGTTGTCGGTCGCCTTAGAATGAGGCTGGGTTTGAGCACGGCAGCTCCGTTTCCCAGACGGAGGAATGCGAGCTACCCCAACGCGATACACGAAGGCAGCCTGAACAGCCAAATTCCTCCCGCCAGCGTGGGGCCTGGGCCTCTTGGTTCCTCCTGCAGTTTCCAGCGGTGGTGTCCAAACAAACTAAATTTGGAAACACCTACTCCTGAGAACTGATCCTCTGCCCAGCCCCTGCTCGCCCTTTAATAGGAAAAAAATAAACACAGAGGAGGCAGAACATACATTATTTTTCCTGTAAGTATGAGGTTTTGGACTCATCTCGGGTAATTCCTCCCGCCTCCCCCTGGCAGTGACTGGTATTGGAGCGGGCTGTTTGGCATGGGAAGGGACTTTGCTTTCAGAGGGAGCCGCACAACCGATCGATGAGTGTACGAGGAGAAACCTTTTAGCTGAGTTTGGTTCTCCTCTCATTGTTACCATTTGCGTTAAAGGATCACCTAGAGATTTGTAGTGCTCTAAAATATCGGATCCTTCTCTCTTGGCAGGTAGCTCAAGGTTATGAAAGTCTCGCGGTAAGAGCCTTCGGTTTCCTGACGGGGTTGAGATGTAATTAGTAAGGCGGCGGCTCATGGTTTTCGACACCATGCTCAGCGTGCTGATGTCCCTCACTGAAAAAAGCAAAACCCAGCATACTTGTAAACCTTTACTGCAAGAAAAACGCCGATCACCAGTCAATAACTTTATCTTACTCCGAAAATAGGCCAAGAAATAAGACTCACAAATAAACCAAAATTCAATTACTGTTTATCTCCTTTGCCAACAAACTCTAGTAATTAGAAATGGATAGATCTAAGGAACGCTTTTCACACATAATAGGCGAAACCCACTTCAAATAGTTTGCAATTATCATTTAAATTTTGGTCATTTGGTTCTTCATACGTAAAAGCTGAAAATTCAGAGAATGAGTCACCTAAAATGACTTCAACTAGCTAAAAGCTAAAACATTTTCAATAATAATGTTTTTTTCTAAATGGAAAAGTTTTGTGGTAATTTTCTGATATCGGGAGCAACGCCTTTCTCATCAGATTCTCACCTGAAAGATAATTCAACACCATTTGAAAGATCTCCAGTGGAAGTGTTTGAAAATATCCGAGTGCTGAGAGGGCCTGGGAAGCCCTGTCCGAGCTGCTGCAGCGCTCTCTGGAGTGACGGTTACTGCGTCTGCACTTCTGGGTGGGAACCAAGGTGCAGCTGGTCCCTGCAGTGGATGTCATTGTGCTCAGTCCCATGAATTTAACCTGGAGAGAAAACATCAAAGTCCTGTTTTCAGTGGAGGAAAACACCGTGCCCAAAACCAGGCTAAGAGGAAATCACTCCAATTTAGACGCAGCGATGGAGTGTGAAAATCTTGTCGTACGCGGGGGTTAAATTCCTGTCTGAGTTTAGTGCAATGACAGGCAATTTGCTGAATAATTTTCTAACTCCGTGTCTCAGAGAATGGAGAGTTGAGCTGATCACAGTGGAGGAAAAGATGAAAGCACTGGGACATCATATGCGTGGGGCAACAGAGAGTTAGGAAAACAGTTCTGGAAGGAAACTCTTGAGGAAGTGTATGTGATGGTGCAAGCTACAGTCACTAACAACATTCTTTTACCTTGTTGCACTAATTATCCAATAGAATATGAAAAAGTTACAGGGTTGTTATTGAAATGATTGTCACGTTACTTGACTTCTTTAGGGTGATAACTGCTAGGGTTGTGTATGACCAGAAAAAAAAAAAAAAGACTAAAAGTAGCAAAGTGCTGCTTCAACCCGTTTTTTCCTGCAGCGCTGAAGTTGATACGTGGCTTAACCTCATCTAACGACTACAGGTGTGATGTACAAATAAATGATACAGTATCGCCGTGTGAAAAAATTCCACTGACCCAGGCTTTGCCAAAATCACGAGGGTCTGAAAAGTAATGAGCTTTAAAGGATCAATAAATATGTGCTTTTGATTTGCCTTTTGCTTTCTGAGTCTCTAGAACAGGCACGCTGCACATTGTCAGGCAACAATGAGGGTGAGTAACTCACTACCTCTCAAAAGTACTTTTTTTTAACTGAGATTTTTTTCACACTATTTCTTGATGCCAGCAGCTGGGGCTTCAGGGAAATTGCCAGAGAGAACGAGCGAGTGCTGCAGTAGAACTACAGGAGCTGGCAGCACTGGTAGTAACACAACTGGAACCCGTCCAAGCTGCAGCACAACATCCCGGCTACCATCAGTGGGAAACGCACGCAGAGAATAGAGCCCATTGTTTCAAAGATTAAAAATTTACAAAAAATTACAGAAAACAAGTTCCAAACATCCTTCACATGTATTACGAAAGCACGCAAGCCAGACCTCTCTAACATGCCACCGAGCAGAATGACCTCCACCACAATGGAAGCCCTGTCTGTGGTGACAACCGAAAGAATACGGGGCGCTTCACTAACGGGGTGACAAACGGGTTCGGCTGCCTCGGGCTCGTGCGCTGGACAGAGTTTGCATTGTACGTTTAAGGAAGTTAGACTTTGCTGGCAGCATTTTTAATTTAGGTATGGTATAATTCCGGCTAGCTAAAGGAGCTTATAGTTTAAACATTCACCAGGCTCATGAGCAAATGTAACTGCTCCTAAACCTGGTGTTTCATTAGGCTTTCACACTGCTCAGGCAAGAGACAGAAAATTGATGCAACGCCTCTAAGAACAATCAAGAAACTACCTATACATAAACATACGGCTGGATGAAGAAATGTTTATTTTCTAAAAGCAAAGAAAGCGAAGTCTGAAGTCAGTGGAAATGTACTACGCACAACTGCGGATTCAGGACAGGTTGAACTCCTTGTGTACAACACACCCAGCACCTCCACTCCTGTTTAAAAACAGGGCACCGCTAAACTTTGTTCGAGAGTCTGATACGTATTTCTGAGGGGTACTTTAGAAACAAAGCTGCAGTCCTGTCATACTCTCTTTTCCTCCCCCACTCCCCTTACTGTCTTTAGCAGGACTGTACTGTAAGGATTTATGGTATCTTTAAGTGTTGTTGGTTTGGGTTTTTTTAAATCTTACCTTGGGTCTGCAGTTGTGTTATGTGGAAGACAAAAATTCTTCACCACAAGGGAGGTTTTCAGAAGTACTCAGCCAATTCCAGTCTGTTTCTGTTCAATCTGACTGAAGTGGAATTGACTACCACTATTGTAATTTAGAGCAGAGATAGATAAAATTAATGTAAATAAAAATGAGTACAAGCAGCGAGTTTCAAAGCCAAAGCCAAGAGACTTTACTGAAAGCTCCCATTTGCTTCCTCTTTGACTTAACGTGGTTTTTATTTCTTAGGGAGTTCAGCCAGAGTGGGGCAATGGCCTGTGCATCTCCATCTGCTGCTGGGATACCACTTGTTTAGAGAACTGCTTAATCCAGACTGGAAAATTGAAAGGTAAACGTTAAATATTTAACAAGCTACACTCATAACATTAGCCAAGAAGGGTCATCTTATTTGTTGCTGTAAGCTAATTTGTTTACAAGGCAGAAAGCATCAACTTCCAACCCGCTCTAGAATGTTTCTTGCCCTTAAGCAGTCGCTAAACTCCTGCTAATGGATGCACTTTTGTCCTGATATTTCTCTGAGCCCTGTGTTAGCATTTGGCAAACATTTATTGCAAACGCTTGTTTACTTTGGAGATTGGTTTGGAACATTTGCGTTTCCCTGCCTTGTCACAAAAAGCATAAAATGAATTGCTTCAAATATTAACTCGAAAGGGTTTTTTTCTTTTTTTTTTTTTTTTCAATTTTCTCTTTTTCCTTGTCAGCGCAAATAAAGACGTGTGAGTTCAAGTGAGGGATGACAAACCTCAGAGCACCGAGCACAGCGGTGGAGTTACGTCAGTGCCTGTTACCCCCGGCCTACACTGACAGCTTACAAAAAGCATATTTTAATTTGTGCTAAATGCTCTGCATCAGAGCAGTAGTGCAAACCCGTCCCGCAAGCATCTGAGTTGGTGAAGTAGTAGAAAGCAAATCTTGGGGAATCCTGATCCCACTGCTGATGGCGACCGGGGTTTTTTCGTGGTGAGGGAAGGCCGGTTCGGCCTCGGCCTGTCAGGGTCCAGTCGGAGGGGAAACGCCAGCACCGGCCTTTTTTTCCTCTCAGCCCCGGGTGGGTTTGCCCTCAGGCTGCAGTATTTGATGGTTGGGTTAAATTTGGCCTTTTACCTGCGCTTTCGGGTCGGATTTAGCCAGGCTGTGACAGACCTTTAGGCCGCAGGACCGGCTAGGCCCTGCTCTCCCCTGCGGCCCCTCTCCCTCGCAGCCCGCCAAAATTGGGGCTGGGGGGCTGAAAACGGGGACCTGTGCCCCCCGAAACCTCCAGAGGGGTCGTAGAGAAGGTCCCGCAGTCGATGCCTACTTACAGACGACACGTTAGGAGCTGGTTTTTACCTCAGGGAAATTCCCTCCCTACAAACCCCCCCCGGGTGGGGCCCCTGCCAGGCTGCCTCTGAGGGCAGCAGGAGACTGGGGGCCTGGGGGGCCTCCTGCCTCCGCTGAGCACAGGACCCAGTGGCCCTGAGGGGGGGAAAAAGAAAAGAATTATTTTTTTTTAATTATTATTTAAATTTTCTTTTTAAAGCATGATTTTGGTCAAACGCCATTACTTTAAAGGGTTAGAAGGGGGGGTCTGGGCACAGTGAAGCAGACAGGCGCACACCCGCGTGTGCGTGTTTTACCCAGGAGCGAAAAATGTTTGCAAACACAGAAAAAAAACCACTTGAGCTTCAGGGGGGTGGTTGTCAAGGGGGCCGATGGTTGACGC